GTATTATTTATCATCTAACACATTTTTCAAAGCATTAAATTTAATAAAGTCAAAGGATAATATAATAATATTACCCCTATTGTTTATTGTTTGCTAAAGGGTATATCAAATTAATAGTGGACAACTATTGTTGGACAAAAAGAGTAATTAATTGAATACGAAATTTAAGAAAAAAGATATAAAAGTTTTCAAATGGAATCATCGAAAACAAGAACACAAAATATAAAGTAAGAGCTAATTTGTCTTAATTAGACTTTTTATTCATAGAACTACTTTTATTTTTGACATCCTTTGTAGATATTGGAAGTTTTTCTCCACAAACAACATTTCACTCTAATACATCTCACTCAAATGAATCAAGTTGGAGAACATTTTATTAGTTTTGATAACGTGCTTTTCTTTTTTCTTAAATTTCACTTATAAGATCATACTGAATATATTATTATACTTTTAATCTGATTCACGATCAAGATATCCTTTATGCCAAATTACTTGAAAATCAAAAGTCTAAAACTGATCCTTATGTTAAACTTAACTTATAGGAGTATTGAGGTTTGTTTCTAGAAGAACTCTAATATTGAAGAGATAATAAATAAAAATAGTAGTCCATTAATGCAAGAATTGATGAAGGAATACTAATTGAATAGATGGGTCTACCCACCATTCTTGAATAGATTCTAGTTTTTTCTAGAAATAATTGTAAGTCTTACAATTTAAAAATCAAGAAAAAAAAAAGAATCTAATTTGATGGGGAGAACCTAGACAGTCTAAGAAAACACTTGACTGATAATATTAATTTAAAAAACCTTCAACAAAAAGAAAATCAATTTCATTAAATACACTAAACTAAAAGGTTCTTCGAATTAAGACAGTTTAAAATCGAATCAAAATCAACAATTCAATTAAAAAATCTATTAATATAATTTATTAGTAATAGGCTATTAATTTAACGATTTGGTAATGATTTAGACTTTTGTTACGGGTTATCAATATAGTAACGATTAGCTTTTCTTAACGAATTAACAAATAATCTAGTAATAATTATTAAATTGCAATTTTTTACATAATTGACAATAACATGCTTTTGTTTTCTACTTAAGGTGTGTTTCTGAAATTCTAGACTTTATTTACATATTTTGCTTTGTTATATCAATTATTTGAATAACTTGTATATTGGTAATATATTTAAGTTTTCCATAGTTTTTCCTTCCGGACTTAAATTATCAGGTTATTCAAACAATAACTATAAATAATTTTTCATGAAAATGGAATTTATAATTTTATCAGCAACGTGGAGTAAAATTAGCTAATATATAATGTATAACTTTTTTATACAATTTGTGTTTATAAGTCAAAATAAGAAGAAGAAAAAAGTACAACTATATTCTCTCCTATTCTTTTCTTTTTTTTGTGTATGACATTTGTCATTTGGTTCTGATCCGATTGATTCAAATTTATCACGCAAAATTTATTAAATAGGGAATAACTCCCTCAAGTATTGTGGAGCCTTTAATTAAGAACAAAGAATTTCATAGTATTGAGAAATTTAATCTAAAAATATGCAATATAATTTTAATTCAGAGGTTTCTAATGTTTATTTAAAATTAATGTACTAGGATTAGCATACTTCTTGAAATAATCAAAGAACATGCTGCCAAATTATTTTATTTATCCAACTTGACCACTTGTATTATATTAATTTTTTCCTATTAAGGGTAAGATTCTACAATTAATAAATATATTATCCACTTGGAAATTCAATTCAACGACATTTTTTCTATATAATATTTTGAACAAATCTCTCTAATACAAAACAAAAATAAGAAGGTTAGCTGCAGCTTCGTATTCGATTATGTTCCTTTTTTAAAATAAAATATTTCTTTTTCTAAACTTTGTTCTTATATATTTTCTAATTTAATTTTAAATTTTCTAAATTTAACGGGTTCTCGAGAATTTCTTTGTAGGATACAATTCGCCAAAGTGTGACATGTTAGCCAATAAATAAGTATTGTGACGAAGCGGTTATTGCTCATCCGACATGATCGTACGAGGTCACAATTCACCAACGCAGTCATCCAGAAAATCGAATATGGGTGAAATTCCCGCCAATGACTGAGATGTTCGGTAAACTCTCCGTCCCTTTGTTGGGGGGCAGGGGTCCAGTGCAGTAACAACAAATTACTAGAATGATGAGTGATACCATTTACCTACCGTGCTCCATAATTTCATTTTGCTATTTAACTACACAAAACATATATAGTAAAAGTATCAACGAAGTTGTGTCATGTGACATCACTTGCGATAAAATGCACCCACAACTGAATGTAGTTTAAGTATTTAAACTTAATAGCTTTAGATTAATATATATATTAAAATTTGTTAAATATTTATAAACCTTGATTGCACATTCAATTACTATTTGATTAAACGGTTGTCTGCGGTATATTAAATTATGAAGTTGAGATCATTGTATCAATAAATAAAGTTTAAATTCTGAATTTGAGTACTCTCCTCTTCAAAAATTACCAAAATTACTTCTTACTTCTTAATTTGAAAATTTTAATCGAATTTTTTAATAAAATATAAAATAAAATAAAAATGCACGTGTAACTTTTTTTTGGGCATGTAGTGACTGCTCTTCATATTTTTATTTTACTAGTTATTACAAGAATAAAGTCCATATTTCAAGAGTCAAAGTCAAAATGCACAACATGTACCAAGTTTGAATTACCAAATATATTCGTTGATCATGAAAAGATTACATAAAAAAATATTTTAAAAAATAAAAGGAGAAGAATAATAATTAAATCAGCCAATGAACAATATCTAAAAGAAGTCACATAGTTATATTTAGTTATAATACATAAATATGTTCTTAAATTTGGCTTAATTGGCATCTATGTCTCCTAATTTTAGGGTGTGCACAGAAAGACACTTAAACTTGTATTGAATTGAACAAGTAGACACACATCCTACGTGACATATTACACGCAAAATGTTTTAATATATATGAAGATTACAAAATGATGATATTTTGGGGGGATTTTGACCTACGACACCCTAATTTTATCTAACTTAGTACTTATTCACTATTCTTTAAATACTTTCTTGAACTACTTCTAATATATAATATTCGAGTAAATTGATGTTTTAAAATTTTATGTACAATTAAACAACATTTCATGTGGAATTTAGGTAGTGTATATATCGATCTTGTATCAACCTTATAAATTAATATTAATTAGATATTGCTATTGTAGGTTGGATATTGACTTGGTATCTATATGAATTATTTTATGAAGTTAATCAAGAAAAACAAAGGCCTAATCACTAACACAATTGTCTAGATTCAATGAATATGATTGAATATGACCCTTTCAATTACTAATGACTTATTATGAACATCATAATTATGTACTCAATGAAGCAAGAGATTCTTCTCTCTTTATATGCGCTTCTTTTTTGGTTTTCCACCCGATGTTCGATATCCATATTAAAGCTTTGATTAAATTTGAATCGAGCACTATCAAGCCTATTCTAGGGTGGCGCTTCCAATAGGATTTTCTTCATACCCAAAATTTGAAATCAAAACTTCTAATTAAGGATGAAACTGACTTATTCTTGTAATTATGCTTTCTTTGATTTCATTAGTCATGGATTTATTGCATCGAGAAATAAAATGATAATTGAAATTTATGTGCTCAACAACTAAAATAATAAGTAGTAATAATTTGGTATGATACATAGAGTTCAATGCTTATACCAACAAATAATTTAAGTCGACATGACTTGAGCGTAGCATAACACGACGCTAATCACTCGAATACAAAAATTATGTTTTCTCCGTCGTAATCTAAGTGTTTCGGTTTAACTGTGCATAAAATTTTTAAAATAAAGAGATTTTTGAATCCGGTATGGTGTTAAACTAAGAATGTATATTGTTTTTAAAAAATTTTGGTCTAAAACTTTTCGGTTTTGAAATTGAAAAAACTTACTAAATATAGAAAAAGACACTCTTTTTGAGACGTACGTAAAAAAAGAACCATATGACACTTAAGAGTATCACGTATTCACGTATACATGTCAAATATTATCGTTGGGATTTTTCCATAATTCCACTTTAGCTAGAATTTTGAGTTCGAGCTTCCAAAAATGAAAAAAAAATTAAAAAATGGACCTTTGTGATACACGAATCTAGATTTAATTGAACTTTATTGTAGATACAAAACATTTTATGAAAAACAACAAGATAATAATAACAACGGAGAGGACCTAAAATGTTCCTCGACTATTTGAATTAGTACAAAATTACTCTTCTCAACTAAAATGTCCTTCGACAATAATAAATGTAAGATAATTTTACAATAAGAGCTAGGTACAAGTTACTCCCTCTATTTCATATTAACTGAATTTTTGGGGTATTTTCATTGTTCAAAGCTCAACATGAATGTCCTTCGAAATAACTCAGTTGGTTTGGAGGGTGGTCATCCGTCAACCCCCCCTCAATGTCTTCTCAGTTGAGCTTGTCGCATAGGATTACATCTCATGTGTAGTCACATGAATGTTTGAAATCTTTTCCTATAATGAAGTTTGATATTTTCTAGAAGATAAATTGAACTGCTTGTAAAATTTCACAAAGGACAATAGTGAAAAGTATGATTAATTTAACTTATATAAATATTTTTTTAATAAGTGTAAATTTCCTTACAAATTGAATTAATTTAAAATAAAGAAAGTAAAATATAAGCAAATCTTACTCTATCTTTATGAGATAGAAAAATCGTTTCTGATAGATCCTCCGAATAAACATTTTTTTATAAGTTCATTGTTTATCATTTAACTTAAATAATGCACGTGGTTGCAGGCTTATCATTTACCAAACATTTTTTTTTCTTTTTTCAACTTTCCTCCATTATAGAAACTTCATAGAACCTCCATAAAGTATCCAAAAATAATAATTTTAATTATTCTTCATTAAAGCTCTTAGCTACGTGCATGAATCTTTTCCCATATATATAAATAAATCCACTTCACCATTCTCATCCAAAAAAAAAACTCAAAACTTCATTTTTAACAGAGTTTCCTCTATAATTTCTCGAATCAAAATATATAGTTTCTCTCATAACTTATTCTGAATTCTGAAATATCCCAATTTCACAAAATTTAAAAATGATATTTGAAAACAGCGAATTTATGAATGATTTTGAACTTCTTGAATCGATTAGGCAGCATTTACTTGAAGATTGGGATTCCCCTGTTACAACGGTGTTAAAGCCGTCCGTCAAAATTGAGCCGGAAGTGATCGTTAGTTCGCCGGAAATGTACGATTTCACAGGATTTACAGCTCCGGCGACGGAGACGGCTGTGGCGGAGGTGAAATTGGAAGTGAAAGTGAAAACGGCGGCGGTTAAGAGAACGCCGGCGGCGTTGAAATCGATGCATTACAGAGGAGTAAGACAGAGGCCATGGGGAAAATTTGCGGCGGAAATTAGGGATCCGGCGAAGAATGGGGCGAGAGTGTGGCTGGGGACATACGAGACGGCGGAGGATGCAGCATTGGCTTATGATAAAGCGGCGTATCGGATTAGGGGTTCACGTGCATTGTTGAATTTTCCGTTGAGGGTTAATTCGGGTGAACCCGAACCAGTTCGGGTTGGTTCGAAGAGGTCGTTGTCAACAACCTCTTCGGAGAGTTCTTCTTCGTCATCGTCAGAAGATGCATCTATGATGACGAAGAGAACCAAGAAAGTTTGTCAACTTTATACTTGAGCACACATTGGTAAAAACAATAAAAATGTGGTGAAATTTAAGATTTTTTCACCCTATTAATTGGTTCGAGTTTAATTTTTTATTATGTTTATTTTTTGTACAATCCTTAAAAAGCTTAAGAAGCTTGATGATGAATTAGGATTCAGGGTGAAGTATGGTATCACAACTATGATCGTATCAACTTTTTCTACGAATAAAAGAAATTCTTCAAGACAAAGATTGAAAATTTGTTTTTGAATTTAAGGGTTAGTTTACTTAGCGAGCTTTGTACCTTCTATCGTTAAAAGGTTAAAAGTTCAAACTCATCAATAGTACTATATTACATTTCATTTTCCTTTCTCTCTTTGCTTATGTAATAAAAATTTGTTTCTCTTGATATTTAAATTTTCTCTAATATACATATTTTGAGATTAATATCAAGTGTTTAAATTTTTTGAAGAAGCATAAAAAGTGAAAAGGTTCATGCTTGAAGCGAAAAAAGGAAAAGTAAAACGCACATTTTAAAAATATGAAACACATCATTTATGAGAAATTAAAATTATGGACTTATGGTACGTGTATGATTTAATATTATAATGACATAGTTTCAAAATTAAGATAACTAATATCAACATCTAGTGTACAGTAATATCAATATTGATTCAACATTTCAAAGTTGAAACTCAAAATATCACAGTTTCCTTAATAAAAGTTTATATTTTACATTAGCAGTACATTTATATGGGCAAACAACACAAATACTATTAGTTTAGTTTAGGGTTTAATCATGTCTTATTTTTTTTGAGTTTTTAAAAGTATTATTCGTGCCAGATTCGGTCTCAAATACATGTATCTGGCTCATTAATGGCTTAATTAGCTTTTTCCTTCTTCTCTTCTTCTTCTTCCTTATTTCTTTGTTGTTTTCCTTTTTCATTCCTTCCTCTTCCTCCATGTTCAAAGCTTGACTTTAAAAATAGATATATCGTAAATGTGAATCATTCTGAGTGAATAAAATATTAACAGACTTGAAATATTGAGAGGGGCTCATATCAAAATATTGAGACTACTTCGAGAAGATTTTTATCGATTGGGATTCAAAAAAAAAAATCTACGATTTATACTCATTATATCAATAATATATATATACTATATATTATCTATATATACACAATTATACACTATATTGATATATTATACTATACATATTAATATAATAAATACACATATGATTATTTTCTCAAAAGTAATTTTTATAGCCGGTATATATCGATAAGTAACCCCCTAAATTAAAACTGAATGAGTATGAGCTAAGAAGCTTCTAACGTTGTTGCCATCCTCCCAATCATTAGTATCATTGTATGATTAACATTGTTATGATCAATGCTGACTTGTCAATATTCAATCCTTTTTATAAAACATTTATGACAGACAAATATGGTAACCACACGTGGGGTCTAATTTTGTTAACTTTCTTTGAATGACAAATGAAAAAAACAATAATATTATCTATAACCTTGACTTAAGACTTTCTTATGAAAGACTTCTTCTCGATCGTTTGATATAACGGTGGGATATTTAAAATATTTTATAAGGTTGAATATCTTATGAGATTAACTATTTTTATATTTAATACGAAAAATTAAAATAGCTAATTTTATCATTTTTATGTCAAATTTATTTCGTAATTAGCTAACCCTACAAACAAATATATAAGATAAGTGTAATCTTAATTTAGAGCAACTTTCACATATAGCAAACACAAAATTCATATTTGTATGCTATAGCAAAGTTTGCATAATTGCGCTCCATAGCAAACATATATATGTATAATTCGCTATACATATACAAAAAAACAGTTGTATAATCTGCTTTGGTATACATATACAAAAAGATCAATTATATAAAGTGAGAGAGGCGAGTGAGCGAGCGAGATTTGGGAGAGTGGCGAGCGAGATCTGGGAGAGGGGAGAGAGGGGAA